TCATAATTATGTGAAAGCTAAAGCCACCAAATGAAAATTAAAGTTTGGCAGATTGATGAAAGTAACAATAAGTTTTATTTTACAGCATAAAGATGAGATTTTGTTAGAACACCGCGAAATGCGTGTCAAATGATCACCGACGTTTTGTAACATTTTTTAGTGTAGAAAGTAATTTTTTTCTTAATTTGGTGGAACTTCCTTCTTTATGTTAGTGCGTTGTTCCATCTTTATAAATTTTCCTTAACCTCAATAAAGTAAAAAAAAATTTTTCTTTCTTGCTAATTCAACATCATGCACGCAAGCGATTTTAAATAAGATAAGTACGATTAGAAAAAGAAGGTATTTTTACTAATTTGCTCTTTTAAATTTGGAAAAGCTTTGATTGAATGTTACGAATGTTTTGGGTAAAATGAAAATACAAAAAGAATATTTCGTGATTTTTTTTCAGCAAAAAAAAAAAGAAGAAAAAAGATCAAGAAACCTTTATTTATGTTAAATTTTATTTACGTTAGATTTTATTTCGTTGAAGACTGGACGATCTTAGTTTCTTGTTTTACAATTTTTTAAAAAATATTTTAGTTTAAACAATACTTAGCACGCATTTACTTTATATTCTAAAAAAATTAAAATCAAATTAAACAAAAATATCTTAAATATATTGTTATAATAGTGCTATAAGAATATTATTGTTATGTACTGTTTTTTGAACAGAAAAAAATTATGATAAAATTACCGCATTGTATAGTAATGTATAGTAGTCTACTGTATAGTAGTCTATCTGTATTCTATCTGTATAGTAGTCTAATGTATAGTACCGTATTGTTTAGTAGTCTGGTTTAAAAAAAAGTAAATAAATTAAAATAAAATAAGAAAATAAAAATATTTTTCTGTTTAATAAAACTAACATATACTATTATCAAACCATTCAATTTTAATATTTATGTTTATACGGTATTGATTTAGAGAAAATTCTGGTTTTCAAAACTATAGTTCTTATATTTCGCAAAGTATTTTCAAATTAATGCATTTTAGTTATGCGAGAAAATTGGAAAATTTAATTTGCGATATTTTAATACTGCTTCGAAATGTAATAATTCGTTATTAAATTTTTTTTTCTTTATTTAACTCATATTTTAAATTTATTTTAATCATTAAAATACATGCAAGTACAACATAGATTAAACATACTTTACTTAACTAACTAAAATTCGTCGACAAATAAATTTAAAAATAAACTGAAAAAAGTTTTTATTTATTTTTGAATGATAATTTCTAAGCGTGATGTCTGTTCATTTGTTGCTTTTTTGGCCCACCCTATAATGATTATTTTAAATCAGTCAATTTGAACTTATTTGCGTCGTCATTATGCATATTTACTTACAAAACTGATGGGATAAAAGGATATTGAGGTAGAAATGAAGTATTAAGTGAATATTCGTCAAATCGATGCATGTCCCCTGCAGCACTGTCCCACTAACCGTGGAAATTGATATTATTTCGTTTTCATTTTTCTGGCAGAAGATACATTGTTCGCCAATCAATTTCCCATTTGGAGAGAAAATAGAAGCTTAAATCGCCTTAATTTCCACATCTTCGCACGAGTTTTAAGAAGTTATGTGTTCACTAGCGCCAATCGAAGTGGACTGCATTTTAATTTCAGGAACTCGGTTGTTCCATATGAAAACTAGGACTCGTCATGTGTTTTAGAATTCCATATATTATTTATCGCTGTTTTGATCGCTAATCTTTTCACTCTTTAATTATATTCGTTTGTTGTAATATGATGTCGAATTACACTAAGTTTTAAAAACTGGCCTTCTTTTTCGCTCATTTATCGGAAATCGCATTTCTGGTTATTCTACTCATGAGGGATCGAAAGAGACTAAGGTCCCCTTAATATCTAACCCTCATATGGTGAAAATTTCCCTTCATATACACCGAGGGGAGGTGGGGATGATAAAAGCTGCAGTTTTCCTCTTGGTCATTTCCAATTTTAAATAAAATCCACTGCATAGCAATGTGTAAAGTATAACACCACTACCTTAAAATTATTGGTACGACATTTGCGTTTATAATAAAGGAATATTTCTTTTAGTAGCTACTTTGGTTTTTAAAGTGTTACATCACGGTAATATAAAATAATTTTTTTTAAATTTTGAATGTTAAAAATATTGTGGTGGTATGTGTCACATTGCCGTAATATTAAATAATGTTTTAAAGTTCTAAATGTTAAAAATATTGTAGTGGTATGCGTCACATTACCTTAATATAAAATAAATGTTTTAAAATTTTAAATGTTAAAAATATTGTGGTGGTACGTGTTGCATTACCGTAATATTAAATAATGTTTCAAAATTTTTAATGTTAAAAATATTGTGGTGGTATGTGTCACATTACAGTAACATATAATGTTTTAAAATTTTTAATGTTAAAAATATTGTGATGGTATGTGTCACATTGCAGTAACATATAATGTTTTAAAATTTTTAATGTTAAAAATGTTGTGATGAGCATGAATTCTTAAATCTTTTAAATAACTTCGATCTTTATTTTATTTTATGATCATCGTTGAACCGACGACCCAAATTTAAGTTGACGACTGCCAATGTTCAACTCCGTAGCCTTGTAATTTTGAACTCAATTCAGAAGACAAGGGAACTTCTGGGTCAGTACCCCCAGATGTGTTGATTTGATATGGGAACTTGGAGGACTTCGTGACCCGGGCAGATTTAACGTGCACAAGTCACCATTTTATCAATACACGGGAATTATTCAGTCGGCTGGCCTCGTACACCCGTTCTCATGAATTCGCGTCCAACACCCTACCAGGTTACCCCGCCCCCAAATAACTGCTATTAGCAAAATCTTCTTGGTATTAGTTTTTTTTTTCTTTTTTTTTCTTTTCTTTTATCTTTAGAACATATTCGAAATCTTACTTTAAAATGCCTTCGATAAATGAAGCACAAATTAAGTGAAAAACAAAACTTCTCACTTCCAAATTCAAAAAATGAGTCTCTCTATTCACTATTTTAGTATCGCCATTTTTAATCTGTCGTAAGCAAAAATATCAGGAGTTTGATCCACATATTAGAATACAAATTTTATTCTCAAATATTTCATTTTGAAATTTATAACAGGTTTGTATCCATTTTGAATTACATATTGTTCCAAAGAGAGATTGTTTTTATCTTTTTTTTCTTTAAATCTTTTAAAGTAGAAAAATAGGGAAAAAAAGAAAGCATCTGTCTTTAATTTTATAAGATTATTTAATAAAAAAGACATAAAAATGTACTGTTTAAAAATTCTAAAAACTAACATATAAGGTGGACAAATTCGGGTCAAAATTTGGTTTTGAGACTTAAAAAATAAAATTTGTTTAAGGAGTTCAACCAACATGTCCAATTTCGCAACTGTAAGCAAACCACCAATCTTTTGCCCACAATAAACATACAGGAATGAACAGGCATACATATTTTATTATTTATAAAAGATTTACACAGAGAAAAAAAAGTTCTGATGAAGAAGAAACATAATTCTGGTTAATAAAACTTAAATGTGCGGTACTTAAGCCATATAATGTCTAAAATTTATCACATATTATAAAATTATATTTTATTGACAGTTTTACTAAAATCATTGCTAATGCTCCTCGGTAGAAATTACCGAGCTTTTTGGTGTTCCCAAGGAACCAAAAGCATGGCAAATTTTACCATATTCTGGTTGCTTTTACNGTCGGACTACCGAAGCGGGGGCGCCATCCCCTTTGCAGAGGATCAAAATTGAGATGGCATGTCTTCGGATACTCCTCGGGGATGTTTCCCAGACCGTTACCAATAGCCCATTGTGCAGCTCTAGTGCGACTTAAATGAATTACAACAACAACAACAACAATGTAAATGATTAAAAGCTTGAAAAAATCTATATGTAGTTTGTGTATAAGGTATTAAAAATTCTGACACTTCAGTTAAAATTCATAAAAAATTCTGACACTGAATTGAAATTGATTCAGCTTTTTTGAAGGAAGAAATTTAAAATTGTAATTATTTTTAATTTCGATTTTTAAGAACGTTGCCTCTTAATCTTAACGAACTGAATATTTATATGTCTCCATAAAAAAAATATGTTATAATAAGTTTCCAAATTTTGCAGGACTTACTATCGATTTCTGTTTCAAGTTGCTCAAACTGTATGAGGTATTAGTCATACTATTTCATTATTGCATTCGAAATTGTAGTAAAAATATTATTCTATTTTGTGCACAGTTTATACTCTTTCATATCATTTATACTCTTGCATTTTAATCAGTATGTAAACATAGATTTAACAGATTTAATCAATATATTTATTTATCAATATATTTTTATTCAATATATTTTTAACTTCAATGAATTTTTATTCAATTTCTATACTATACATGTATTATTTAATAATCTTTACACACTTTATTCTCCAAGTAAAATAAAAATAATATTGAAAATTAGAAAACTGAACCGAAAATGCATCATTTACGATATCGTTTGCTTAAAAAATTTAGTTCATTATCATTTGGTTAAAAAAAATTCTAAAAATGGAACACCATTTATGCGAAAACAATTTTGTAAATTGTATTCTTTCGATAGCATTTTTTTTAATTTCGATTTTATTTTTTAACTTTTATTATTAAATAATATTAGTCAAATCAAAAATCTTATTTTAAGCAAAACTATAGTTTTTTTTCTCCAAATTGTGTAAAATTAATGAAACTTTATTTGTTATTTCTTATAGAAAATATGAATAAGAGTTTTCATTTTCTTAACAGAACTACAACAAACACAAAGTGATTGGAGTTCCTACCTCTTTCATATTTGATGATTTATCCATGTTGACTGATGTTGAGCCAGATGATAAATGATAAATAAAAAAAAATAATTAACTTTACCGTTAAGAAACTTCAGATTTAAATGAACTAAACACTTTACTCAATTATAAACAAAAGCTTTTTATGCAATAGATAAACAACCCCTGTTCTGTCTTTCCGCTCTTTTTCTTTTTCTCCACTCCACCTCCTCCACACCCATTTTATTCTCATCTCGAAGTCAGTAGATTTGTTCTACGAACACGTGAAGTGTGCGCGTTTGAAAGTTCTTAGCGGCGCCAAAAACTAAAGAAAATAGTGACTACACATATTAGTGCCAATTGGATATACTGAGTATTTTTCATCTAAGGTAATATATTTGAATACACTTATATATATTTAAATACATCGAATTTAATGTTATTTTTTAGTTTTAATAATATAATTTTCAAAAAATATGCCAATCTTATCACGAGAATTGAGTAAACTCATTCTACGTTTAAATTTTTTTTGATGAAGTATAAAAAATTATATAAAGTATACTAAGATTTTATAACTGAATAATCACTGTTGTATCTTTCACTTTATGTCGTAAAATTCTTGTATAATACCATAGATATTATTCTTTAACAGTATTATGCACATTTGTGATTACAACATTGCATGATCAACGCAATTTAGAAAGAATTTAAAAATGGCATATCGCTATCTAACTATGGTCAAGCATTAATTTATAATTAACTATGTATCACTTATTAAAATGAAATTAAATTGAAATTAGATTACCTTGAACTTGCGTGAGCAGATTTCAAGAATAGATTACTTCTCAGAATGGAATATTATTACATCGAACTTATTTACAGCAGTTTTCAAGCATACTATTCTTCTCACATCGAGTTTAAAAAGAATCGTTTGCTATTTGTGGGAAAAATTACAAAAGAATAAAGTCGTTTTCGCATTTTAAATTCTCATCTCACTGTAACAAATTGAGTCCTATCGAACCAATAAAAAGTGAGTTAGACTGCCATGCGAACTTTATAATTATTACTTTGTTTTCAACAATGAATAACTGAATGATTCTCGATAGTATATATTAAAATATTTTATCAATTATTGAAACTTACTTGACAAATTTATCTTTAGATGGTACAAAAATCAAAATCATTATTTTCCAGTGTTTTATTTTCTTAAAATCAATTGTGAATTTCTTTAAAATTTAAATTGATTTTCAGTTAATATTAAACTTTATTATGTCGAAACAAGATTACCTTAAAAAAACGAGTTGCAAGGATACAAAGCACATAAATCAGTGTTATTTTTTAAAATGGAATATTATATTTTTCTTTATATATAGTGCATACAAATATATAGTGCATACAAATACAAGCTTTTATATTTGGACACTTTGACGGGGGGGGGGAGCTACTCATTATGCATTATTGCTGGATTAATAAAATAGTTCCAAATTTTTTTCATGTGTTTTAACAGTTCACTTTTGAATTACAATTTTGAACTTTACAAATAGAATAATCCTTTTAAAATACATAATAGCGAAATCCTTCTCCCGCGTCTACTAAACTCAAAAACAAATCTAAGAAATAAGCAAATTCTGAAAAACTAAAAAAAGAACTTTTTATGTAGCGTAGGTTTTTTTTTAATTTTAAAAGAATGAAAAAAAGGAAAAGTTAGAAAAATAAGTATTTTTACGGTAAAAATACTTTCTAAAGGTTAAAAATGCTAAGGGAAATAAGAAAATCAGAAGAAAAAAAAAACGAATAGCCCATGATTCTCAAAAGAAAAAAAAAGAAGAAAAAGTCCAATCTGTTGTCCCTTTATTTTTCTTAAATCCCATACATAAAACTGCCTCTATAACTTGATAATAGCGGATATCATTTGAAATATTTCCTTACTTTGATGAGACATCTATTCGTTTTGGAAAAAGGGATTTAAAAATTAACATCTATCTGAATTTTTTAAATTAATTTATCGTTTATCTATTTGTTTATTTTTTGGAAACTGTTGTGTTCGGAAAACAGTTTCCTCGTACTTAACATTTCTTTTACAATAAGCCCTAAAGTTTAGGACAACTTTTCTAGAGGTTTTTAGAATGAATATTTCCAAGGACAGACACAGTAAATTTTTCTAACATCTCTAATGACTTCTTAAATGCAAAGTTAAGAGGATCTACATTTTAACATTTTAACATTATTTATTTACGCTTTAAGGTATCGAAGGTATTTTTCAATTCGTCAATCAGTTTGTTATATGTTTACCTCTTTGAGTCAATCTTGATTTCATTACTTTAATCATTTCCAATGTACCAGAAATAACTTACTATATTCAATTTGACAAGAAAATATGCAAGGCCATAACCAAAGTTGTTGAGGTTTTATCTGAATTGATAAAGTGATACGTTGCTTGTACTAAAGTACAAGCTACACTTTTAAAGTAAAGGTTAATGGTCGACTGCTTTACATAGACATTAGTTAAACTCTAAAACGATATAGCTAATAAGCTGTATGTTATCTTAAAAAATTTATCGGTAATTGAGATGGTTGACATTTTTGTTGTTTAAAAATGTTGTTTTCTAAGTGCGAATTTTGCTCTTTACTTTTTCCAATACTTACTTTTTTTAAAAAAGTTGAAATCGATGTATTAAAATATAAAATATTTTGAAGGCAAACTCACATTTATTAATTTATTCGCACACATATCTAGCAATCGATGCATTTAATGAATATATCTGTAGCGATATATTCAGGTTCATACCCTGATGTATGAAAATATAAGGAAACAAATACTTATAAAGAAAACAAGTGATAATGAAATATATATTAAAAAGCTTTATTTTCTATTGGGTTTTAGAAAAACTTTTTTATTCCTTGTCAGAAAAATACTGATAACGTATGTCTGATGTGTTTAATTTTAATTCAGAAATTTTTGCCCACCAATTTTCCTTTTTTGTGTGTGTGGTTTTACAAAGCATTAACGAATAACATTACAAGGTACCATTTGTAAACTTATGTAGAAACTCACAGGACCAGTTCTAATTAGATAAATTTGGTTATTAAAAGAAAGGCACTTGAAATTTTAAAACATGTATTCCATCATCCAACTGAGAATACATTTAATATTCTTTGTATCGTATTTATTAGTACAATATTCAGGTTTGAGCGCCTGGCAGAGTAGTTTAATTACACTTTAGAAAAAGAAATTTTGTTACATTTATTCAAATGCTTGATCTCGCTTAAATTCGGGTGTGGAGATTTCAAATCTGAAATTAGTCTTTTTTAAATGACATTTTTTGTCGAAATGTTAAAAGTTTAAAAGCGTTATATGTCATAGGGCAGGGACGAATTTAAAACTATTTGACGGCACGTCTATGACCTCATAAAGCAATTTTTTAGAGAAAATGGCACGTTGGTGTACAAAGGTTCGCCACCCCTGTCACAGGGGGTCGAGATATACTTTTGGGGAATTAAAGAACATAGTAGGATTACAACTACATTGGAAAACGAGATCGCAAATGTGATGGTACGCTTCCCTATTATGACCTGTTCTGTTTGGAAGTACACGAAGAAACAGTTCTTAATTGGGAAGACGCCCCTAGAGGCGTTTGCGGACATTTTTGGGCAGTTCCTGTGCAGTTTTAATCATGATGATATGTCATAATTTTTATGTGACCCTCTGTTATGTATAACGTTCTTAAACTTGTACATTTTGTCGAAAAACTAAAATGTCAATGTTTCGTTGATTAAAATGTCAATTTCACGAAAGAAAGAAGCTTTGAACAGTTGAAAAAGGTTTTAAATTAATAAAAAAAAATTAGAACTATAGCGTTGAGGGAGAAACCGATTGTAGATTTAAAATCAGCGAGACGAAAGTACATAAGATCTGTTCTGAAATCTCATGCAACAGAAAGCAAAGAAAGAAAATGTTTCACAGTGTTATTCAAATTTGTTTCCCCTAATATTAACACAAACATCACGAAACTCCTATCAAATCATTCAATTTCAGCACGAATCATTTTTAAACAATTTTAGAAGTGTACCCTCTAAACATTTCATGCATCACGCAGGACGCAGCTTTGGCCATTGGTGATTCAATTGAGTTAAGTAAATTTCCTGTAGATTGCTTTAAATAGGTCATTTCGCGCTGATTAAAATAATCTATATTTGCGTTTAACATCCGGTAAAAAAGGAAAAAAATAGAACTGAAGCATGTATTATTTACCACCAGAATACATTGTTTGTTTTTTAATCGAGTACAAAATCGTAGAAAATTCACTTTAAACTTAGTTTCCATTAAATAATTTATTTTAAAATTAAATTTTAAAATGAAAAAAAAAGCTTTTTATCTATTTTTTGTAATTTGAAACAAAATGTAAAATCCCTTAATTACTAAATTTTTTTTGTAGAACAGCCTTTTAAGTGCCAGTTTCTTAAATTTCTGAAACAATAACTTTCAGAATTATCCGGAAATTATTTAATAATATCCTCTAAAGAAAACCTTCTTATCTTAAAACTAAAAAAATATGCTCGTTATTCACATCTTCAAAATATTGAATCTGCTCTGAAAAAAATTATGGTCAAAACTACCAGAATATGGTAAAATTTACTATGTCTCTGGTCTTATGAAAACACCAAAAAACTCGGTAACTCTTACCGAAGTGATTTGGTTGAGATTTTAGTAAAATTAACAATAAACTATGGCTACATACTGAGCGATAAGCCATAACGGTTTAGTGGCTAAGGCACTGAACTATCGTTGTTAAGAATAAGGGTTCGACCCCCAATGGTGGCATAAGCCCATCCAGTTTTAGATCAATAAGCACCAGCTTGTACGGGAAGTAACTGCGGCATCTGCGTAGTGCTGACCACATAACCACTATCGTGTCTTTGGTTATGACATCGTAGAGTCTAAAAAACCATGATCCCCTTGGCACACAACAGGCTGTTGCAGGAATACTTTACTTTTAATATATGATAAAATTTGGTAAATAAGGTAAAATTTGGTAATTTTATCAGCTTATTGTACAGCAACTTATTGTACTTTGGGACAGTTTAGTTTCAAACAATTTTATGCCAAGAAACAAAAAGTTTTTTAAGACACTCAATTAGTAACAGACAAACTGCAAATATATGAAGAATATAGAATACACAAGGAATAGAATATAGAATACACAAAGAATAGAATATAGAATACTCGAAGAATAGAATATAGAATACTGAAAGAATAGAATATAGAATACACAAAAAACAGAGTATAAAATACACAAAGAATTGAATAAAGAATACACAAAGAATAGAACAGAGAATACACAAAGAATTGAACATAGATTACACAAAGAATAGAAATGAATTAAATTCG